TGGTTTGCTTCATTTTGGATTGCATCTGTCCAGACAGATGATATTTTCTCTCTATCCAGATGTCTGTCGTGTCGTTACACCCTAATCGCTATTGGTGGATGTAGAGGTTTGTGAAGGACATAAAGAACATTGAATAGAACCCTCTTCTGATAGGGCTACTCCTGGCACATTTTCTCAACACACTTCTTCATTTATTCTCAGTGGCATCCACGATAGCACAGTGTTACGGTCACTTCGTATTGATAATAAGTATTAATAACTCTGGAGAACAATTTTTGCAATGAATATCTATAAGCAATTGAATTGTCATACCGCCCAAATACTTCCTCAGGGGTTGCTCAATAGGATTTGCTTGTATTGACAGAAAGGCTTGAACAACCAGAGTAACAACTGTGCTAGGTGGCTTTACCTGGGTTGCTCGGGGGGTGCTGTAGGTTAGATTAGACCTTGGCTAGGGGGGAGCATTAGGGAGCCCGGGTAAGGTTGAGAAGCATTGAGGGTCCGCCCATAGAAACATCGCTTACCCGTATGACAGGGCTCGTTCGATCAGGGCTGAGTGCGGTTCCTGCCCAGCCTTGGTACTTGCAACCACTTCCTGGTCATGTCACCCCACCAAGATGGTAGAAGGGTGATGGTCCTGAGTGGTAGACACTGAGGTGGAACTGGGGGAGTGAGGGTGTGCCGGGGAGAATTGACGAGAGGAAGGGTGGATGGAAGAAAGATTCTGGAGTCTGGGGAAAGTGATGAATGGCGTTTTAAACATTTTGCCTTTGCATGAAGGATTCCAGCTTCCAATGAGCGAGATCAATAGATTGATCTCTATTGTGGTCCTGTATTCTTTAACGACGGTGTCCTCATGAACACAAGGCTAAACTGTCGATCCAGCTGTCGTGCTAATGTCATGAAGAGGCTTTGGCTTTATAAGTTTTATTCTGTTCCCCTCATGTGGCACAGAAGTTTAGGAGCATTATAGTGGCTCAGCCTTTTTTGGCCTGCATGACCCAACGCGAAACATAAACGGGAACACCTTCTGAGTATTTGTATGGTTCGTTCAAGCAAGCGTTTTGATCTAGTATCAATACCGTAACGCTGTCATATGTTCTTGCAGACTGTAAAAGGAAAAAAAACAAAAAATCACGAAATATAGCAGCAAAGGACAATATCAGCGAGTCCACGTAATTTGAAAGGAGTGTTTTCTGTGTCGCTTCTGACAAGACAGACATGCCCCTGTATGTGTGCTAGTTTCACATTACATATCATGCACCCAATCCATTTTGCGTAGCTTGCTCGTGACACACTGCCATCATGGCCACGCGGGAATTCATTTCGATTATGTATAGTACGAGTGTCGAGCTTGTTGTTCTGTGGAGAGTGCCATAGATAGTGTTTCTGTGAAGACCGACACAAATTTGCAGTTTATTTGCATCACGTTTTTGCAGATGCGGCAATCGGTAGTGATAGTGTTTCTAATGCACCGTTTCGACTTTTACAAAATATTAGTCTGGAATTCTGACTGACAAACTTTTGCATATCGAGCTCTCCCTCTTAGATTTTGAAACCGGGAAATGACTCAATTCGAGTGTGCTGCAGTGTTACGATTTGTTGTGGACGATCAGAACACGAACCGTCGTGTGTGATAAGGATGTGTGGTGTTGGCAAAACATCATTTCTAAGAAATAAAGCCTCGTAAAGACTCAGAAAGATGTACATTTTTCTAGATGGCCCTCAGAAATCAGTTTAGTAGGGCAGTGCTCATGAGACTGCGAGTGTTCTCTGTCGTAATAAGGCGGCACTGGGCTTCCAATTGCCCGATCACACTGACTGAGCGTTGCCTATCAATGGATCGGTTTAGCAACTCAGTGTCCATGGGACTATTGAGTGTTTTCTGTTGCAGCAGGTGGAGCAGAGGTGAGGTGGTGAGGAGGAGCAGAGGAGGAGGAGGAGCGGAGGAGGAGAATGAGAGAATGAGAGAATGAGAGAACGAGATGACGAGGAGAAGAGGCAGATAAGGAGCTTCAGCGTCAGTGCAAACCATGCGGTCGCCTCTACCTAAGAAAAAAGGAAAAACAAGATTTTTTGGAGGGACTGGATGCGGAGAGGAGATGATGATTGAGGAAAGGACAAGGAGGAGAGAGGAGAAAATGTCCTGTTGTCTAGTGCATATGGTTGTGTTCCTGAGCTTCATCTGATGGATGCGGGCTCGTTTCCTGCTTCCACCGCTCCCTCCCTTGTCCAGGGCTACTGTGGTTGCACTATTGGTGCTGAGGTAGACTCTGATGCTCTACTCTGTAGATCCGAAGCGGAAATGGAAGTGGCGTGGCCACAGGAGGACTTGCCAGATCAGGAACATAGACGGTGGGCGCCGGCGTTGTGCGCTACACTGTAGCTCGGAAGCGTTGCCGGGAGTGACGACTGTCAAAGGACTGACTGGTCAGTGTGGCTAGGGCACTACCAGGTGTGGTACCCTGGTACGGAGCTTGAACTATGCCGATGCAGACTGCTAGCCCGACAGGACATACCGAAGAGTTCTGTGGTTATTCCAGAACCTTTGTATCTGACAAATGTGCGTTATGATGCTTAATCGGAGTTGAAACTCTGGATCTATTCTGGAATCTCCAAAAAATGGTAATCGTTAAAAAATAATAATCTACTAAAATCTAGACACTGAGGCCAAGGAGGCTTTGTCCAGGCGTGTCCCAGTTTCCTGCACCCTGGGCCCTTCTAGAATCTGCGTGAGGCCCAGCATGTTACATCTTCGACGCCACACGGGTCCTACCGGACCCGACTTAGGGCTAGAGGGACACATCAGGGCCTAAAGGCCCGACCTTGGGGGGTAACAGGCCGAAAGGCCACGACTTGGACCAGATTACGGACCAGGCGCAAGCGACATTTCGTTTTGGGCCTGGCGGCGCCATTTGAGGCTGCTGCTCTCCGGTTGGATCTGAATTGTTGATCTGGATGGTTCAGCCCCAACCAGGGCCTCGCAGCATTGAGGCCGGTCCTCTTCGAACCAGTACTTAGTACTGGTCCGGCCTCACTTCGAGGCCATCGACCTACCGGCATTCTACCGGTACGGTATGGTACAGCGCGATACAGCGCTGGCGCTAAGATTAGCGCARGAGCAGCGAGGMGCAGCGCAGCGCGGATTAGCGCAGGAGCAGCCAGCGGAGCAGCAGCAGCGGCGACTGGGTTACCGGCGGCCATAGCGCCTGAGGTATTGGGAGTTGGAGTTTTCTCTCCTCCCTCCCATCGCCAGTCCCCTCTCTCTCTCTCTCCTCCTCGGATCCTTCTCCTTCTTCTTCTTCTTCTTCTTCTTCTCCTTCTTCTTCTTCTTCTTCTTCTTCTTCTTCTTCTTCTTCTTCTTCTTCTTCTTCTTCTTCAGATTGGAAACTTATACTAGTTGGACAGAGATCAGTGTTGGACATCGGTGGTATGAGACTGTGGTACTTACCGGATTGGAGACTTGGAGATTGTTGGGGTTGATACTCGGCGGCATCACAGTTCGGACACCGGTTACTTTTGGTTTCTGTATCTCCGACATTGGTGACCGATTGTCCTCGACATTTTGATCTTGTTGGATGACATTTTGGACTACCATATCGGTGACCTATCAGATTCTATCTGGGTGACCTATCGGTGCTGTCTACCTCCCCACCTCCTTCGTCTCTCCTCCCACCTTCATCTGTGTAAGTGTGTACGGGATCTGGGCATCATCTATGCTTGGCCCAGACCCCACCATCTCACGATTGTATGTGTGTGGAGTGATGCTATGTGAGTCAGTCTATGTGAGTCAGTCCGTTTATCAGACTTCCGCTGCATATATGCTCATCCTACATTGGTTGATCTTTGGTTCTGCCCATACTCGTTGAAGTATGTAACAGTTTTGGAATCGGAGCAGACCATATAACGGATCTGCTCACACAGGTAAGTTTGGTTAGGAATTAGATTGCTTTCTCAATCTTCCAAATCAGCGCTGTATTACTATCAAGTTCAAAGTTGCAATTTTTTTTTTCGGTATTCTATTTATTTTGGCATTTCCGTTTCAATTCGTTATTCAGACTTATATTTCGGATTTCTGTCTTATTTCGGTATGCTGTTTATTTAGGTTCCGATTAATTAATACTAATCCGATACTTGATTAGGTTCGGATTTCAGAGGTTAAAACATGATTAGGGTTGAATCAGTATCCGTGGAAATTCGGCATTCTGATTTTTCTATTTCAGCATTCCGTTTTTTTGAATTCGACATTCTGTTGTAAATCCTACATTTCGTTTTTTCTTTGGTATTTCCGTTTTGTGTTCAGTATTGGAAATTAGGGTTACGAATATTGGTTGTTCGATTCAACTTGGGAATTTCGAACGTTTTGGAACTGTAATACCGGAAATTTCGCGGAAACGCGGGAAATTAGGGTTGGGCCCGAATTTGCTTTTTTCGTTCCCCTTACTGGAGAAATTCCGAAAACGGGTTTAAACCTTTAAAAATTGGATTTTGACGGTGGAAATTCCCGAAAAATCACATTTTTTGAAAATTCGAATGTTTTTCCTTCTGAAATTTTCCGAATTTTTTTTCGAGCAAACTAATCCGAATCTGACCCTCAAACTGCAACTTCCGGGTAGTTCACTTAATTGCGGTGAACTCCCGGACCATCATTGATCTCAACAGATACCTAATCTAAATACAATTCAAATTCGTTCATTATCATTATTGCAAACATTGTTTATTGATTATCATCGTTATTGCGAATATTGTTTTTGGAAGAGTTATTATTTCGTATTAATCATTAATTCAATTTTATTGATTAAATAAATCGTTACTAATTCCTTATTACGAATTTTTGAATTCTTTACGGGAAAATTAATTTTATGTTTTGATTAGGTGTCTACAGTCCATCAGTGGGACAGGGGACTGTATGCGAATTGTTTGACTGTTCTACCCTTGTTCCCACCCTCCCTACCCTCCCCGTACTCTGTGACCACCGGGTTTCTCAAGTACCACATCAGCTAGCACTGATGTCGATGGAACAAGACACCGGGGCACTGCCACGACGCAGTGCCAGGCTTGCAGGGCGTGCCCGCTCTGTGATACCTCTCCGACGCAGGACTCTGCGACTCAGCAGCAGGACGACTCCAGCGGCATCGAGTACAGCATTGACGGTACCGGTTACCACCGGAGTTCTTCCCGCATGCCCGGTCCAAAGGGCCGGTGAGCCGTTGGTAGATTACCTTCAGTGGGTACAGGCATTCACTGATGACGTAGCAACCGCAAAGGCACAGGAGGAAGCAGAGGCGGAACGTCAACGGCTGGCCAAAGAGGCGGCACCCCAAGCTCAGCAGACTGCTGAGGATGACGCAGCAGCACGGGACCAACGGAATGCCGCCATCATGGAATCTCTGATTCATAATGAGAATCAGTGGACAACGATCCTCGAGGGCATGRTCTTTGTGCCTTCGGAAGAGCAGGCAGATCCGACACCGGCGGAGGCAGAGAGGACTCACCTGGCTAACGTGATGTTGACAATGATGCGAGCGATCATGTGGAACAATACGATGTTAGCAGTACAAATACACGAAGGCAGACAGCTGAAACAGATGCAGCAGAAGGATTCTGCAGCCTTGTCAGCAGCTGTTCACACTACCGCCACACATCAGCAACAACAGCAATAGCTGTGGAACACCACCACCGCACGCGTCAGCAGCATCGAGGCTAAGGCCGCAGCAGCGCCAGGCTGCATGACAGACGAGACGAAGCAACTCATCGGGCGCATCGATCACGTCATCAAGCTCATCGGCGACATAGGTGTTTTCAATGGGTCGGAAACGATTAGTAGCACGGTAGCCGCCATCAAGACGGACATCACCAAGCTATAGACGAGACCGGACGCCGCGACGAAGAGTTACAAGATGCCACACTTCGACATCAGCAAGTTCGACGACCACAACAAGACGGACGCCTTGGCATGGTGGCAACGTTTCCTTACGGAAGCATCCTGCCGCACTGTCCAAGACGACTACATGATGAAGGCGCTATACTTACAGCTGATTGGAGGAACGCAGGCATGGATGAACCACCTGGCAGCTACCCACACATGCACCATCGCCGAACTTCACACGCACATCACGTGGAAGGAGTTCGAGCAGCTATGGTTTACCCGGTTCAAGGTCCGCAACGTTGTGAAGGCGGCCATGAAAGAGGTGTACACCTGCTCTCAAGGAAGTATGCCAACTCGAGACTGGACAACCAAGTGGCATAAGATAGTGACCATGCCAGGCTTCGATTTGACTTTTCCAAATCAACGATCCGAGCTCTTCTCGCGATCGTGCGCAGGATTGCGGTCGGCACTCGGCAATGAGTACGACTATACCTCGTTCCAGGCCATCCTGGATCGTGCAAACCTGGTCATCCAAACGGACGACAAGGCCGCTAACGAGAAACAATCCCAGCCGCATTATGTGGCTAATCAGGGCTATCAACGTCCGACACATAACAATGCCGTAATTTATGAAGGAACAAAAGATCTCCACGCTGCAGCAGCATCCTCGAGTGATGGAGGAATTGTAGCAGCGCTCCCGCCGAAGCGTCCCAAGAGAGTTCGGAAGAACAAGGCGACACAAGAGAC